GCACGCACGCACAGACACGCACGCACACACAAACACACACACACACACAAACACACAGACACACACACACACACAAACACACACAAACACACACACACACACACACAGACTCAACCGTCTTAGATGACTATGTCACAGAACGTGATGCTACATGATATCAAGGGTCCACATCGTAACATCCTCGAAGCTGAAAGCCCCGTGCCCTAACCCATCCGTCCTGAGCACTCACTCCAAGACCCACCACCGGCCGAGACCCTTCGCCCTAACAGCTGAAGCCAGGACTCTGTGGGCGAAGTCGAGCGCGCCCGCGTCGCTCGGCGGACTGTGGTTTGAGTTTTCAATTCCGGATCATTAGACCTGCACCTGTGGTCCTTGCGGTTCATACTAAGCCACTAGGCATGGAACCTAGAAGTACCCAGGGCACAGACCTGGAGTACAAGAAAGGCACAGTGAAGCGGACCTTTCAAACTGTAACAAGTGAGCCCCGAAGCCTTTACCTGCAAAGATCCCATGAGGCCCTTTGCAACCTGGCCGTCACCCAGGCGGACTTCAGTCTTAGGGGCTTTTTGTTTTTCGGCGTGGGACGAGTTGACAAAACTCTGAACCATAAAGCTCGGGTGGATGTTGCTAGGGCTTGCCTTGGGGTGCGGAGGTTGATGCGATGTAAACAAAAGCGCTTTTGCAGGCCGCCGATTCAATTGAGAGCTCTGAGATGTCGAGTTGTCGAGTTGACGCTCTTGGTACTAAACCCACGCCTGCTTGGGGCGGGTTTGCCGGCTTGGTTTTTGTGTTTGCGATTCTGGGTATGGCTCTAGCAGCTGCGGCAAGTCTCAACATGCTCCAGCTGCATTTAGGTAACTGGAGCAGCGCTCAAGACCGCAATGTGCGCTGTTGCTGGTGGATTTGGCGTTTCAGCCTCACGGGCTTAGGGTGAGCACAAACGGAGTGGATATGCAACCACTACAAGTACCTGCGCATCTGCACAGGCAACAGAGAGCCTCTTGAAGCCTTCCAGATAAGAGACGCGACGACACGAACCTTGCAAAGTGTTGTGATGGTGAAGGAGTATCTCCCGAACTCCCACGAAGCATCCCATAGTTCCGTGCACATCCTACCAGATGTTCCAACCTTTGAGATGCACATCCAACAACCGTGCAAGCCCTTAGACACAAGTACAAGAGAGCCGACACCTTAGGCCCTAGGCCGACCTCACCCCTGTGAGCCTTTGAAGAAGCCGCGCCATTTGTCGCCCTCAACCTTGAAACTGCAAACCGTGCATCCCTGAAGATCCCCAAAAACTGCAAAGTCCGAGAGGAGCGCCTGGACATGCCAGAGCTTGTTTGGAAGCGCTATATCGACCTGGAGGCTCCCATGGGGCTTGGGTGTATCAGAGTATCACTGTATAGTAAAAATCATAGTCTTACTGTTGAAATGATCATTGCCTTTTTCAACATGCTTTCAGCGGAGTCATGGCGAAGGGAATCTCAGAAGCTTCCGTTTCTTGCAGGTAGTGACTCCAAAACCAGTACCGCAGCTTATGTTAGCAATAAACGCACAGCCATCGATCTGGCAGTCATTTAAAGTGATGTACTGCAGACTGCCGGTACGATCAGATTGCTTGATACTCGGGCGATGCGTGCAGATCCTTCGACGAAACACCGGTCATTGGTCAATCGAGGAAGGAACGGCTCTACAGCATAAGGCTTTAGAGCGTCAGGGCCAAGCCCATCCGATGTTCTTCTGCGTTGTTGGGAACAGAGAGTGTGGCCGGTGTGAATTCCAGATTGCTTAAGCTTAAACCACTTCCCAACAACTTGTCAGTGAGGCAAGCATGCCTTCGAGTGCAGACGGAACTAACCGTTGGCTCACCCGAAAACAGAGAAATGCGTTTTACGTGACATGTGCTACCGCTGTGCTGTGCACATTAAGGGAGAAACTCTTGCCAGAACGCTGCTATGCTCATTGCCGTGGCTGTTTCTCTTTCTTATCGCACAAGTTCTGAAACATCATTGTGTAGTAGGATGCAGAATCTCGACATGTTGTACTGTCTTTCCTGATTACAGCTGTCGTGGCATATGTGCCGTGCACACACACAACTGTAAAAATGATCCCGGTTCGGCCGGGCCCCCCGCCTCCCCCCGCCAATGGTCCCCCCCCCCCCCCCCCCCNNGTGGGTGGTTGTGGGTTGCTTCTCCCTTCCCTGTGGGTGGTGTGGTTGGGTTGGCTCTGCTTGTGGTGGTTGGCCCCCTCCCCCCAATGGTTCCCCTCCCCCCCCTAGCTGTGGTGTGTTGCTTCCCCGCTCCTGTGGGTGGTGTGGTTTGCCGGGGGGGGGGGTTCCATTGGGGGGGGGGGGTCGGTGAGCCGAG